AAAAAACGAATAATAAAACTGCAGAAATCGGCTTTTTTAGCCGAATTTTCACTAGACCTTCCTTCTGCCACAAATTCAGTAATGTACCTAAATTCAATTTTAAAACTATTTTTATATTATATTTGCTTGCATTTTTTTTCAGGTGAAAACTATAGCCGGCCACAGAGCGAGATAAAGGCTTCGACTCCGGTCGAGAAGCCACCACCACCACCACAATCGGCACCGCCACAACTAACCGAACAGGCTAAAATGGACGGTAAGCCTTAAAGTCGCTTCTTCACAACAAATTTAAAAAAATAAATTGCAAAACCAAAAAACCGCTAGAAAACTTAAGTAAAACCACAAAAAAAAACAATCTCTCTCTCTCTATATATATATTTATGATATATATCGTATCGAGTAAGAAATCCATATCAAACTCAAACTCAGACCAGCTTCTTAACGTATTCGTATTATTCGCTACTCATCATTACATTGCGCCAATAGTCAAGTAATTTATCAAGTAATTTATATACTTATATACTACATATGATAAACTGCAAATCAAATTAAATCAAATTAAGCAAAACCAAAAAAAAAAAAACTAAATTAAATCCAAGCAAAATAAAGAAAGCAAAAGCTTTTCAAAAAAAAATAAAAAATCACTGCTAAAAAAATTCAATGCAAAAATCGCACACAAATTCCAATAAAATAAAAATAAAACAAACAAAAACAAGCATTGGAATACGTTTAACACTTTCGTAACTTTCCCCCACACATATATTTACACACACTTACAACATACGCGACGGGTGCAGCCTGGAAGCATGCCGAACCGAAGAAGGGCACCACCACAAGTCCAACCGGTGCCGTTGGTGTTGGACGCTCAATTGTCGCCACGCAGCCAACTGCTGGCGCTGGTGGTCTGCCATCACCACCGCCGCCACCACCACCAACCGGCAAGCCAGTGCCCGGTTCAACACTACGCTGCCTCGATGATCCCATCTTTGATGTGGACATCGCCGCCCATTTGGGTGGTGGTGGTGGTGTTGGAGGTGTTGGTATTGGTGTCAGCGCTGGTGGCGGTGGCAACACTTCGTCGTCGTCCACGTCGACCACCACGGCGGTGACAGCACGCACCACAGCGCAAGATGTGCTAGAAAAGGCTCGTGACCGTTTCGATCGCTTCTGGGGTGGCAGCAAGGAGGAGCAGGTTTAAGTTCACGATGCCGATTAAAGCAAAAGAACAAAACAGAATATAAAACAAAGAAGTTTGGAACGTATATGATGTTATTGTTGAGGATGGTGATGATGATGATGGTGATGATGATGATGATGATGATGATGATGAGGAGAGAAGTGATAGCGAAGTCATTTATAATCCACACAGTTGATGGTTGACAGCATACGAAGTGGAGATTTTGAAGTTCAGCGAAGTTTACATTGAGATTTTTATACTCATTGATTGTAAAAGCAAGATTTTAGTCAAATTCATTGAAGAACTATTATATCTATAAGATTAAAATTAAATACTAATTATTATTAATGAGAAAGTGTAACACAAAAAATTAAAGCTTAAAGTGTATTTGGAAAAAAGTAAAAATACTAATAATAAAGCTAACACAAATAAACCATCACTAGCAGAACAAAGTCAAAGATAACGCAAATCTGCATTTTAAAGCAAAACTAAAAAAATTGACAAAACACTAATGCGAAATTCACAAAATTAAATACTTAAGCGCGAAGTTCTTGTATAAGATTCATAGCAATAAAAATGCAAAGGCATACTGCTGTCGTCATATTACAAATGTGTATTGTAACACACACACACACACACACACACAAAGGTACACTTAGTCCCATAACAGCGTAATTTACATAAATACAAACATTTTTGCTGGTAAATATTGCGCTCTTCAAATAGCTAGTAATACTCAAGAGCTTGTAAGCCAAGAAAAATTGAAGGAAGTAAAAACGAAACGTTTAACTAAATTTTCTACACAGGGTAGCCGAATTCCTATGCACAGTTTTTTGCTAATAAAAACCAAAGGACTATTTGGCCTTAATGTGTGCATCTGTGAGAATATCGAGGAGCAATCGATACCCATTTAAAAAAAAAATTACGCCAATTGAGTTTTTAAATATGTGAAGTATTGTGTATGCGAAGCCGCGAATTGTGTTAAAAAATGTTCTTGCTCTGTTATATCTAATGCAGGCCATTTGATGCATACAAGGGAAAAGCAAAAAGAAATTATAATTCTTGTTTTTATCATCAAAATCCAGGACTTACAAGGAAATTCTTGCCAAGATAGCTGCAAGTATTTTGTAAGACAATTGAAAGACAGGAGCAAGTTAGTTTGAAAGATTTTGTTTATTCTGAGATGCAAGTCTAAAAAAGCTCCCTAGCTAAATTTTATTGGTGAAAAGCTCTTTTGACAGAAGGCACTTGTACATGCATATGTATATCAAAGTACTGACGTGTAATTCGAGTGACACAAACCTCGAGCTCTCGCACACCGAATTTTCTTCTTCTTTTAATTTAATTTTTCTTTAAGTTTTAAATTATTTAATTTTAAAAAGAAGAACATATTTTTTTATTTCACTTTTGGGAACTTATTTTAATTATTTGTTTTCTTTTAATTTTTACTATAATTCTATTTCAATTTCTAGAATTTGTTTTGAAATTTGTTTGAGATTTGTGCTTGGTATCGGTATGGGTGAAATTTACGTTAACCCAGCAGAAAATTTGTAACTGCTTTTTGCGTGGTGCAGCAAAAAATCTGCATATTATGTGTATGGTGTTGCCCTTGAAGCAGTTGTCTGCTAGCGAAAGGAAAAAAAACTGCGTTCGTTTGGGGCTATTTATCGACGTCTGAATAATCGTTGACCTTGCGGACGCAAGTTTATAAGCTTGATCATGATCTAATGATCGGATCTAAACAAAATTAGTATGGGACCATCTCTGAGGTACCGCCCTTCCTCTAAAAAAGAAATATAGAAGTCGGTTGACCGGGTCCAGAATTATGCGGTAACATATATAAAAAAAACTAAAATATTCCAACAAATTGATAACCTCGTCCTTTTGTTGAAGTCGGCTAAAAAAAGACGGCCTTTGTATGCATCAAATGAGAAAACTTGTTCAAAGTATTAATTAGAACCTTACTTATCAAGTACTTACTTATTTGCGGCATATAAAATGTGTATTTAGAAAACGTGTTCAATTGTCTAAGAATTCATTAATAATAAGCTCAATATGTACGTAGTTATGTATTTATATAATTAATATATAGTTGTGTTTAAGTTTCTAAAATTTTGGTAAAATGTAATTATGTATGTATATCATTGCAAAATTTTTCTTTTACAGCTTAAGAAATATATACAAAAACAAATTAAATTTGTGCGCAAAAAAAATAAGAGAGTACTTATTAATTATTTAAAAATTGAAAGAGAAGTAAGTGATCCGGAAATATTCTTTTACATTTATGAATTTTATTTTTATTTTTTTAATTTTTTGTATATTACTTTTATGTTTTTCTATTTTAATCTTTATAAAATTTACATTAGCGTATAATTATAATTATTTATTATTTTTGAGCAAATTTTTTAGTACTTTAATCTTAAAAAACAATTATCATTCAATGTCACAGTTTTTTTTTTGATCTTCTAAAATTTTAAAAATATATTTTTTCGTGTCGATTTCGAAAAATTCTTACAACCAAATTCATAGGAGATAAAAGAGGTTTTAAGTGCTTTATCAGTCGAAAATTTGCATGAAATTGTCACTTTATAAAACTCTTTAAATCTATTCATTAAATTTTTAATGAATAAGGCCATTCGTATTCGTTTTATGCGAGTACACAAAATTTATTATATTTATTATGATAGATTTTTGTTCGAAATGTTGCTGAAATTTTTTATTCAAAATTTAAAAAAATTTTAGTTAACTTGCGTTGTATTGAGAACGATAAAAAGGAGATTTTTGTTCTAAGTTAAATAGAAATTCACTAGAAATTGTTCAACCAAAAGCCTTTCGGAGAACAGTTGGTTTTAATAAGCTTTTTTTTTTTTAATTTAATTTTCAAATATTTTAGTTAATTTTTAATCACGGTTGTAAAATTTTATAATGCTTATATCTTCATAAGGTTGTTAATTTTATGTTAATTAATTAATAAAACTTATTGTTAATACATACATACATATAATTATGTTTATTGAATTTAAATGTTTTTTTCATGAAAACAGAAATTTTAATACTTGAGTAAAAATTATTTTCAATGAGCTTCATCAATACATTTAAATATAAATTCTCTCTAATATATGGACACATAAAGATTAAAGCGCCTCGAATCTACAAACATCATCATCACTTCATACTACAAAAAAAAAAAAAACATCAGACAAAAAGACCCGTCCAAAAAAGCAGAAAAATAAGCTTAATAGTATAACGAAACAAAAAAATTAACAAAGAAAAATAAAAGAATATAGCAAATCTTAATACACTTAAAAAACAGGCGAGATATACACAAAATACTTGAACATGAAAGCAGCTCAAAATTTCAGGTAAATTGTTGAAAAGAAAAAGGTTCTGTCACTTTTACATTTTCGTGGACCATTATTAAGAAACAATTTTCTCACTTTTGACGTATTACATACATATACATACATACTCGTACGTACATACAAACACAATGTTAGCTATGTTGGCTTATAAGAAACGTGTGGGGTAATTTTGTAGCATTTAGAATGTGGATTTAAAGTGGTGAAAGAAAAGAAAATGAACTTAAAAAAAAAAAAAATAAAATAACAATTAAAAACTGCGCAGGGCCTTAATTTCAGTGAAAAGGTAAATCACATTCGGCGGTTAACTACTTATGCAAGTATACTCTTCACTGTGCAAACGGCTCCTAGTGTTTTGGTTTATAAGTGGAGGCGTTTCAAGAAAACTGAAATAAGTGCACACAAAAAACAAATTATTTTTGCCTAAGAGTAATTCTTGATATTGCTTTTTATATGCGGAGAATAGTTGAAATTGAAAGGAAGATAAGCAAAATTTTCTTTTGAACATGAGAAATATATTTCAAATAATTTTTTTTAAAAAAGCTTTAATAAAAAATAAATTCTTTAACTACTTTTGAGGGACCGACAACGGGTTTCGGTTTTAGTTTAGTTCTGCACGAGAACAAAATGTAATATCTGGAACGTTCCCGTAAAAGAACTAAATGGAACAAAAGTATTGAAAGCAGTTTCAATGGGAACAAGATTAGAACAAAATGCGAACAAAACTGTCGTGAACGTTCTCAAGAAGAACAGAAGAAGAACGAAATTTCAGAACGTTTCCATTGAGAAAAAAATGAGAATGAAAGTGTCGAGGACGTTTTCAAGGAGGATAAAATAAAAACAAAAGCCTGGGGAACGTTCTGCTTGAGAAAAACACGGGAGCAGATGTTTTGAGAACGTAATGTTACGTAGGAGAGGGGAATCTGGGTGTTGTCATGAAAAATCGTTTCAGTGAAAAACACGATTGTTAATTTCAAGCCAGAGAAAAACTAGATTATTTTATCTTCTAGATCGTCTATCATTATGGTGAACTGCCCATTGATGGTACAGTTTTCAATTTTCTGTGCAAAAAAAAAGGAGTTCGTGACTTTAGTCTCTCTTTGACTTAATTGCCATAATTCTCTTCAGTTCTTTTTTAATTAACTTTAATTTTCAAAAGGCTATAAGAAAAATTTTGAGTAGATTTGCTACCGTTTCGTTCTATTTCCGAAAGTTTCTGAGACATTAGTTCCCAAATTCTTCGAGAGAGAGTTCCTTAGACTTTTGTTAACGATTAGTTTTTTTTTTCAGAACGTTCCGGGGACGTTTGTTCCCATTTTGTTCTCTTAGCGATGTTTCCGAAAGAACTGTTCGCATTTTATTCTCGTTGGCAACGTTATACAGGGTTTTCTTTTTGCATATACATATATATTTCCCGTTCAAATACTCCCCAAGGTTTCTTTCTCATTTCGGTTTCGCTTTTTAAGCGCTTTTGGGGGAAAAATATACGAAAACGACATTTAGTTTCGATAATTCCTTTTGTTCTCGGTTTCTGCTTTTTTTATCGTTTTGCATTTTCTTGCAATTATTTGGATTCGTGATGCAAAAAATCACGTCAATCTTAGAGTTTCTAAATTAGTGTAAAATAACATCAATTAAGTATTTAATTTTCTGGCGTGCATTTATAGCACCCTCGACTCCTAGGAGAGCGCTTTTTTGAAATGTTCATCTGTTTAAATATCGGCTTGGAGTGCAAATTCGCATTCTTGGGGCCCTTTTTGCAAGTAGCTTTTAAATTTTAGCTGTCTTTCAAGCACATTTTGAGAACAGTTTTGTGTTTAACTAAAGGGCAGATGAATTTTAAAAGCTACCTGAGAAAATGGCTTTTAATGACATAAAGCTTTCTTAACAACAATCTGATATTGCCGAATGCTTTTTTACTATCAAGTAACCTTTGCGTAATGCCTAAATATAAAGTATTTAATTGTTAGATTTGCGATAAAAATAATACAATAGCTTGTTAATAAAAACCACATATAAGTAAATAATTTTTTAACACTGTTAATATATTTTGGGGTGTGACTTAGTGTTGGAAACTTGGAATAAAAATTCGCTGTTTCTTGACAAACTGCATAGACTCCTTATGATTTCCAGATATTTTTGTTTTAGGTTAGGTTGGGTGCAGGTCAATTGTGATACAATTTTGAAACACCGAGAGCGCATTGACTATATTTCATGGAACCATTATGAAGAGTAAGGTTGCTTTCATTCCTACACCGGATAGTTTCGTGATGGCGCTAAAGAATTGCTTACCTAAAACGCCTGCTCTGCTCTTAGTTAAAGCTAGGCAACTGCAGAAGGAGTGTTTGACTGTTTCTTCCTCTTTCTCATGTCTGCAACTTCTACAAAATTTATGGGAGAATATTTACTCCTAAACTCGGAAGAGTGTCTTCCAAGTAGCCTATGACCGCCATAGTAGACAAGCTGTTCTACAAATTCGACTGGTCATGCTTTTTTGAAATGGGTAACCGGTACTAAAAATGCGGATTTTTCAAAATAAGTAACAGGTACCAAAAACGACTTCGTTTTTGAAATGAAGATAATAAAAAAATTTACAGATTATTCCTCGTTTCTCAAAATTAGTACCCGGTACTAAAACCCCGCGTCTTTCAAAATTGATAACCGGTGCAAAAAATGAGTTCATTTTAGAAATCACCGCAAAGTAATGCCTGTAGGAGTAAAGCTTCAGCAAATTACAGCCACTTGTACGTTTCTACATTTGTTCATGTGTGCGCCAGTGTTATGCCGAATTTCCACTAGGCATTGAATTACACAAATTTTAATGACAAAGCAGGGCATTAAAAAACCTTGGCCTGTACGGTAAGAAAAATTGTTATTAAATTTGTTCATTTCAATGTCTAGGGGAAATTCGGAATGACTAGCTTCTAGTTAATTAAAAATATTTCCTGTTAAATTGGGAGATAGAACATTTCCTTATTTTGATTAAAGTATTTTTTTTTTAAATATATACTACGTGGAATTTTTCCCAGGTACACCTACAAAAAGAGCCAGATTGACTCTACTAATAATACGTGCACATGCATGTAGGTACATCAGTTGGTAGTATTGATTTCTTCCCAATAAAACTCCAAGCAACTTTGTCACACCCCACATTGTCGTTACAAGTTGGCTTAAGAAATACGTAAATGATAAAGTTAGAAATCATAAACATAACAAAAATTTTCTATTGAGCTTAAGTGAAAGTTATGATTTATTTTTGGTAAAAAAATGAAAATTAACTTACAAATGATAACTGTTTAATGTTTATTAGACTACTAAACGCATTATAAAACTCATATAATTATTAAAATTACTGCATGCCTAAATCCCAAATATACAAAAAATGTATTACAATAATGAAAATTGCAAAAGATTAGCAATTGGAAACCGTAAGTAGCCCTAAAGTGACTTTAGGAGCTGGCGTTGAGAGAAGGCGGAGCAGTAAAAAAAAAAAACTGGATAAGCCAAAGTATGCGAAGTTGCATAAATAATTTGAGCTTCACTTGCC